TCATCGAGTCTACGCTCCTCACTACAAAAAATATTCTATCCTTGCAAAGTGCAACCTACAAAAATTACGCCATAAGAGCAACGGAAGCGATACACGAAGACTCTTAGAAAGAATACCAATACGCATTTTCAAAAAATAAGTGTGCGCATAGCAATCTGTCATTTCGGCTTGCAACAATCGTTTCGCAAATATTTCATTCGTACGAGTTATACAGTCCATAAAACGTTTATTGTGTAAAAGTATTCCGCAGTCTCTAATCCGCTGCAGATGTTGGGGAATAATATTGTTTATAATGCACTTGCGAAGAAATACAGTTTGTAATTTGACTCTAACCAATGACATCTCTAAATAGTTAAGGGTCTTAAGTTGTTTAGAAAGTGGAATTCCGAAATATAGTGAAATAAAGTATAAAAATTTAAAGAAATGAATCTGTTGGTAACGCATATTTTCAGCCCGCGTTTATTCAAATAAAATAAGGAAGAAAGAACTCTTTATGAAACTAATCAGTAGTAGAATAAAGGGCCAATATGAGTTCAGGCACAGCTGTTATAGCGCCATAAGACTAATAAAAATTAGTGACAACTCTCATTTACATTTGAGGGATATTTTATTCCCACACAGCAGAGGTGTCCAAAATATATCATAGGGATATCCTAAAGATATATTTGGGATATGTGATATCTTCAAGATATCCTTATGATATTAGGTGGTAAACTTAGTTCCTGCGATTTTTTGTTTAAAAAAACCCATTTATTTCGACATCAAAAGCAAAAAATACATTAATCGAAGTATTTTCCCTCGCTAGCTATACATTTTTCCCATCTTTCGGGCAACGCGTAGATTCCGCGACGATAGAACAATTGGTCTTTTGATGCAATCCATTCGTCGATCCATTTTCGCACATCCTCGTAATTTCTGAAGTGTGTATCTACCAAGCTGTGCTGCATCGACCGGAACAAGTAATAGTCCGAAGGAGCTAAGTCTGGTGAATACGCTGGGTGCGGGAGAACTTCCCACTCGAGCTGCATCAGTGTTTCTTTGACGGCTTTGGCAACGTGTGGTCGAGCGTTGTCGTGCAAAAGCATGACTTTACGTCGATTGCTGGCTACTGCTGGCCTTTTTTCCAACAATGCTTCATTCAGACGGTTTAATTGTGATTGATATCGATCCCCCGTGATACTTTCGTTCGGTCTGAGTAGCTCATAATAAACGACGCCGTGCATATCCCACCAAATGCAAAGCATTGCTTTGTGGCCATGAATATTTCTCTTTGGTGTGGATGTCGATGGTTGGCCAGGGTCTACCCATGATTTTCTTCGTTTAGGATTATCGAAGTATATCCATTTTTCATCGCCAGTCACTATGCGCCACAAAAAACTCTTCTTTTTCTGCCTGGCGAGCAGAGAAATAGAGATGTTTAAGCGATTCGCAATGGCATTTGCGGTTAATTCGTGTGGTACCCATTTTTCCTCTTTTTGAATTTTTCCCATAGCATGTAGACGTTTGGAAACAGCCATCGGAGTAACATTTAATGCTGCAGACAATTCTTGGAGCGTTTGAGTAGAGTTTTCGTCCAATAATGCCTGCAAATCGGTGTCTTCAAACTTTTTCGGTTGGCCTGAGCGTTCTTTATCATTGACATCAAAATCACCACTCTTAAATCGCTGAAACCATACTTGGCATGTTCTTTCCGATGGAGCATAATTGCCATAAGCTTCGAAAAGCAATTTATGAGCTGCAGCTGCAGTTTTTTTCAAGTCAAAGTAATGAAGCAGCACATGTCGAAAAAACAACTTATCACGTTCCATATTTAATCAAAAGAAAAAATAGCACTGCTCGCTTAAATGAATCTCTTCGCACTGAATTTTATTGACAAATGTCTAACCTCTAAAATGCAGCCAGTTTCAGATGTCAAAATAAATTACACCTACAACTAACGTCATCTAACTGTGAGCCGCAGGAACTAAGTTTACCACCTAATATATTTAAGACATTCCTGTTGTGTGGGTTAATATAGTAAAATTATTCAAACGCGTTTCGATTTAATTCGCAGACCCTCTTCAGTGATAACAAGAAAAATACAAATATATATATACAATAAAACAGTTGTCCGTCATGGGAGTCAAAATAATAAGATGTCGTTGAAAAAACAAATTTGCAGACGGGAAACGGAGGTCAACGCACAAAAATCAGAGAAGCAGAGAGCTAAAAAAGAATAATTATCTCAATGTCTCGAAAAAAAACCGTTCATTAATAGACGCAGTGTTAGATCAATATTGAAGTGACCTCCGAATGCCGAGAGCGGTACAAGAAGTTTGTTTATATATCAATCGCAATGACATAACTCTTAGCTTCCACTAGGAGGCCCCTAGAAATATAAAAAATCATAAAAAAAGAACTTTTATAAAACATTTTTTATATATCTCTTATCTTTAACCCTCAAATTCCACACTGGTGCAAATTCGCACCAGTAAAAATCTCACTTTGCTGCCATCTGTCAGCAAGTTAATATATCCCTCTGCCCCCACTACGAAAAACTTGTTTTCCCTATTGTGTACGACGCAATCGTTTCCGGAGTTATTCTAGCCGAAACAGACAAAGTAGCGACTATGAAAATTCGAGTTGGTGCGAATTCGCACCTGTGTAGAAATAGCGAATTAGGAATCAATGCTAGTAACATTTTACATTTATTTCTTCAACAAAGTTTTTGCTTAGTTTCAATTAAAAATAAGTATTTTTATGTATGTACTAGTTTTTATTACAAATTAAATTTCATGAAAAAATATATAAATGTTATTACTTTTTATGCACCACACTTTTATCCCTATTGTTTTTTAAGAATACAATTGTAAGAAACGTTTTTCATTAAACGTTTTTCTATGTATATATCTCGTATTTATGCGTAGAATGTAACAATTAAATGATATTTTCCTACATATGTCTCGCATTTTTATTTATTTTCCTTCTAAAAAAAGTCCAACTTCAAACTGACGTAAAAAATATTTCCTTTTATTTAATTCAATTTCTAATAATTTTTTCTTCAAGTACATGGTGTTAACTTTAAACACTTATATAAGTAATTGAATTTTATTAAATTAAAAAAATATGGTTAAAAATTAAAAAAAGTCAGTTTCTAAAATCTCTCTTACGAAAACCTTAATTTTCACCATTAAAATAAATTTGTCGTTTACACAATTTGAGTTTTACCACTCGATTCCCTACAAAATTTCCTATAAAAAACATAACAACTTAATATTTCTTTATCCTTCATAATAATATCAAAGATTGAAAACATAAAAGCCAAATTTGCACCAGTATGGAAGTTACGGATACGTGGTCGGAGTGTGGAATTTGAGGGTTGAAGATGATAAATGTAAACAAAAAATAATTTTCATTGTTGTCGAGAAAGTTGTTTTTGAAGGGTTATTTCTCAACCTCTTGAAAACTCTCAACCTAAATGTTGGAATAAGTACATAAAATAAATATAATATTTTTTATAATTATTTTTGCTGCTTTAAAATATATTTAAAGTCCATTAAAATTAATAAAAATCATTTTCTCCTTTGTTAGTATCGGAAGTGCATCTCGCGGTGGATATTTATAATGATACTTAATAGCGGAATGTTAAGAAAGTAACTATTAGTATAAATATCTGAATATACAATAAAATATGAAAGTTTCTGTTCAAGAAAATCAACTTTAACACTCGAGATGGCGCGATTCATTATCCACTTGGGAAGTCGCAATGAAAATAAAAAAGGATTTAAAACCCTGCCTCTTTCATGCTGGAGTAAGCGGTATACAGCTAACAATGGCGCGAATGCTGATCCTACATGTCACGCTTTTCTGAGGATTAAATCTAACTAGTCGTAACATTGACCGTAGAAATCTAATGTTATAGTATTATATCAAATAACTCTCTTGAAACTGTACAGTTTTTATTGCAATCTTCTTTTTTTTGTATGCTTCATTTTGCTAAAAAAGTGGGATGATTTCAATGGATTATCCTATAATATATACAGTGTCCCAGATCACCTTCTCAATCTCTCGTAAAGTCGTAGAGCGGATTGAGATAAACACAAAAGTCCTACTGTTATACAATATTCGCAATAATAGTCGAGAAATTAATTGTGAAAGATTAAGAAAAAACGCACACTAAGTGGTCGGAGGAGGAGCGCTCGAGCCGCAGCGCGAATCTAGTAATATAGCGGATGTCGGCGCGCGGTGATTAGAAAAACAATGCACCACTACCTTTGCTTATATCGCTGCACTCCTACATCTCGCCTCGGAGCGATACGGCAAGACATAGAATCTCAACGATATAAGCATAGGAAATGGCACATTGATTTACCATTTGCCGCTCGCTAACATTCGCCTATGTTACTGAGTCACGAGCGCTCCTCCTTCAACCATTTTTCCTTAATCTTTCACAATTAATTTCTTGACTATTATTGCGAATATTGTAAAACGGTATAGGACTTTTGTGTTCATCTCAATCCGCTCTACGTCCTCACGAGAGATTGTGAAGGTAATTTGGGACACCATGTATATCTGAAAATGCTCACATTTTAAATAACTAAATCTGTGGAAATAGATTTTACATATCTCTAAAAATTTTTATCATTAGCTTGATAACAAAAATATAAAATCTACTGATAGAGTATGATAAAAGATTGATAGCAAAAAAAGGATTTATTCATATTTTTTCAAATAGGATTTATCCATCTTTACTTACATATATTTAAATGAAACTTATTACAGATTCTACTTAGTTTCTGCCATCAATCTGTTATCAAATTATGTCAGCAGGCTCTGTTGAGTTAGTCAGATGAATTAATTTAATGTGAACATAAATAATTATGAATCTGCTATAAGTATTTTAATTGAATTTGTTTCCAATCTTCCGGAGTAGTACTAATATTTTGCTTTTGCGGATTGCCTTCAGGATTAGCATTCGTCATAGTTGACAAAGCAATTCATTAAATTCGAAAGTATTTTACCTGAAAATGTATAAGTAGTTTTTGACCAGATGGACCCATGAGATTGCTAGACGATTTACACGCTATGATGGCCATTGTTAAAATTTGCACGACGGCACGAATGGCCAGTAGAATCATGGGATCTACGTTGCGGATCGCTTTAACCAGAGCAGAGCTGACGGTGAAGAAGGTTCCTGATAGAAATGCTAAGAACACGCCGTACCATTTAGTGCCATCATTATAGGTTTCTCCATTATTAGCAAACTGCTCGGTATAATGATAAGCTGGATGAATGCTGTTGTACGAAGCGGTAGACTCTATGCTGAACTTCATGGTAGCACAGAAGCACGGTTCACAGGAGTAAGAGCTAGTTAGAGCACCAGCGTTGAATGACACACGCGCAAGTAATACTAGTCGTTTAACACACATCTGTAGCCGTCTATCCTCAATTAGCATACTTAAGCGGCCAAAGGATTATAGGAGATTAATAACGCTAGGAAGATTCGGCCAAATGGAATGGTGACTGTGAAGAAAATATATCGTCGATAAATACATAGTCACACGAGATCTCATTCTAAGACAGATAAATTGCAACAAAACACATCTTACACTGATATAATAAAATACGAAGATACACAATGATTAAACTGAAAAAAAAAAGTATAGATCTTTATCGAATGGCGACAAATAGAATATAAGTCATCGATCACGAGTTAATATAATTATAATAAATTTATAAATAATTACAAGTTTATAAATAATTTATTAGTACATTTGTTTTATACAGTATTTATTATAAAATTTGATATAAACGTTCATTACGTTTTTTAACATATAGTTTTTTACTCTATTGCAAATTATACTAGTAATGTTGTATATTCTGCCATTTCAATAATTACAACAAAAGAAAAAAATATAAAATGTCTATAAAAATAATAATTATAAAATATGAAAATAAAAATGAAAAAGCGGTGAAAATGAGAAAGACTGAATCGATAAAAAAGGAATCGTGTATACTCGTTTCGACTTTTCTCCCTTCTCTCGACAAAATTTATAAAAAAATTATATACTAAATATATACATATTACGCATCCACACACTCGCGCACTCCTGACGCTAGATAGATAAACGCTCGTATGTATGTAAATTAAATCTAACTAAACACAGAATTCTTTTATCATTTTGTAAATAACAATGTAAAATTTTAAGTTATTAAATAAAAAGATTGATGAATAATCGCACAGGATATAATGCAAGATGTAATAGTAAATATGACCAAAAAAATACTGAAAATTTTTTATATCAATTATTAGTCATACAAAATCATAAAATTAAAATAATTTCAGATAAATTATATTGATTGATAGACATTTGCCATGCCCGATTCATATTAAAACATGTAATCTTTTAGAAAGAATGTCAATTTCTATTCTAAATCTATAAAATATTTTGCCACAGCTAGTACAAAAAAGTATTAGGTGTTCCGGTTAGTTTTTAGGGTTCATTGTAGATGACTATAGCTACAAATCTATTGGAAACATTTTGAAAATGGGTACGTCATCTCAAAGCTAGAATCTCTACAAACAAATTGACGCATGTCCTGTGCATTCCTAAACATAAACACGCTGTTTACGTCAGCGACTAAACATGGAACGTGATAAAGAATATTTTCGGCATTTGTTACGTTACTCTGATTCGAAGAAAACAGCTGCTGAAGCTCACCGATTCATTTCAGAAACTTATTCTGAGTCTGCTCCATCAGTTAAAACGTGCGAGTACTGGTATCGACGATTTAAAAGTGGTGATTTCGATTTGAAAGACAAAGAACGTTCAGATTAATTAAAAAAATTCGAAGATGCCGAATAGCAGGCATTATTAGATGAAAACTCAGCTCAAACACTTCAAGAATTAGCTACAACATTAAATGTTAAAGGTTGATAAATCAGTCGTTTCTAATCGTTTACACGCAATGGGAAAGATTAAAAAAAAAGGCAAATGGGTTCCACACAAATTGTCTGAATTGGCTATTCAGAATCATTTAACCATTTACACTTCATTGCTTTCTTGTCACAAAAAGAAGCATTTTTTTGTATTAAATTGTAAGTAGCGATGAAAAATGGATATACTATGATAATCCTAAGCGTAAAAGATCGTGGGTAAATCCAGGCCAACCGTCGACATCGACTCCAAAACGCAATATCCATGGAAGATAGATTTTGTTATGCATTTGGTGGGCTTCGAAGAGCATCGTGTATTATGAACTGCTGAAACAGAATCAAACAATCACTGCTGAGTTTTATCAACGACAATTAATCGATTTAAATCGTGCTTTGAACCAGAAACGTCCAATAACAGCTCAAAGAAAATGCAAAGTGATTTTGTTGCACGACAATGCTCGAACACACGTTGCAAAAGCAGTTAAAGATACGTTATCAGAATTTCAATGGGAAGTCTTATCACACGCCGCGTATTCACCAGACTGTGCTCCTTCAGATTATTACTTATTTCGAGCGATGTAGCACGGCCTTACTGACTAGCACTTCAAAACATATGATGCAATAAAGAAATGACTCGATGAATGGATTGCTTCGAAAGACGAACATTGATTTTACCGCGGAATCCACTTATTGCCAGAAAAGTGGAAAAAAGTTGTAGCTAACGGTGGAAAATATTTTAATTAAAATAATTTAATGTCTCTCTAAAATATACGTGTTTCTTTTTTACACAAAATCCCTCAAGACGGAACACGTAATACATAATTTATTGAAGTTAGTGTTTTAATATGATTGTATATTTTTAATCACCCTAAGTGTTTTTGAGAAAAAATTTCTAAATAAACCAAAATATATTTCAGAGTACATTGGCTTTTAATGCTAGTTTATGTATACAACATTGCTTAAACATGTTATTTTTTTTACTAATATTAAGAGCGTTAACATTATCGAACATTATTATTCTCTCAATATTTAATGAAATATTTGATCCAACATTGCTCTTGCCTAAAAATATATTCAATTTAACTGGATATTTCGAGAGTCTATGTTTATAGAATAGTATGTGTTAATATTTTAATTTTATTTGATTGAGATAACAATAACGAAATATAATTAAGAAAATAAAATGTTAATAATTTATTTAGAAAAAATAAAAATTAAATGACAAAATAATTTCAAATTTTATCGATAACATATTTTATCTGAAATTATTTTAATTTTCTATTTTTGAGCAACTATAATAATTGATATAAAAATTTTTTAGTACTTTTTAAGTGTGAAACGTGTATACTTTATTATTTTTTATTGTTTTTTTTTAGATAATGTTATGTGGCAACTATAATCACGACAGATGAGCGAAACTATCACGTTTACATTTACAACTCCCGTACGCAGTCAAATATACCCTAATCTAGGTCAGAAATTGGGAAGGTCTCTTTTTACACCGGTCGCATTGTACACCGGGTGGTCTGCTTTTAGATCTATAGACATAGTAAGAATAAACCGAATATTCACTTCTTTTTGAAGAATAGAGCACACATAGAAAAAGACAAACGATAACGATCGTATCTCCTTCTCTTTCCCTTATAGAAATATCATACTAAGAATCATTGATAATTACTTATTTTCAGTATTAAAAATACTGGATAATAAGTAATTATCAATGATTCTTAGTATGATATTTCTATAAGGGTTCTATGCGCTTGCGCAATAAGATAAGTCACGTCTATTAGTCATATATACAGATTTGAGGCTATCCCAACTTTCTCTCATTAGAAAGAAACGAGGATGCGGTCGTTATCTTCTCTTTCGTTCTACGTTGGCATTACGTCTCGCACCTAATGGCTCCTGCACACAGGACGCGGTAATGCTCACCGCGCGGCGGAAGTCCGCGCAATAGCCAATCAATATGTTGTTTTTCCGTAAGAGTTAGAAGGTTCTTACGGAAAGCAGCATATTGATTGGCTGTCGCGCGAACTTCCGCCGCGCGGCAAGCATTACCGCATCATGTGTGCAGGAGCCATAACACTCGATCTATTATTATTATGTCTATTTAGATCAGATAATCAAATCTCTTTATCTAGGACTTTTTTTTTTTTTTTTTTTAAGGCAGAGGAAATGCATTACGCACACCCCCGGGAAATCGGGACTTTCCCAGGGGTAGTGTGGAACTCTCCCCCTCCGGTCCTAGTACGGACCCCTGGGGAACACCGCGGTAAACCACCCTTCCGCACTGGAGTTCCGCTTTGTTCCGGAACTCCAGTCTTCTATCCCGGAAGTAGTCCCTAATAATTGAGACCAGGTGGGGGGGGACCCTGAAATGGGCCAAACCCGCCTCCACCCGGTCCCAAGGGAGGGAGTTGAAAGCGTTGGCGATGTCCAAGGACACCGCCAACACAACTCCCCCCCTCCTCACTACGGCCTCCGAGAGGGACCGGACGCGTAATATCGCGTCCACGCTCGACCGTCCCTCCCGGAAGCCGTATTGCTCTGAGCTGAGCGTCGGACTACTCCGGGACAGGTGCCGGACGAGGCGGGCGTGTATTATTCTTTCGAATAGTTTGCCCGCCTCGTCCAGTAGGCATATTGGCCTAAATGCGGAAGGGCTGTCCTCCGACTTGCCCCCCTTTTTGAAGAGGACCAAATTGGCCCTCTTCCAGGGGCTGGGGAACACCCCGGTCCTCAGACAGGAGGTGAAGAGCCGCATTGTGCGACTCTTCACCTCCTCCTCCGTCATCGCCAAGGCCCACGCTGTGCCTGGGATGCCGTCGGGGCCCGGCGCCCTTTTCTTGGCGTTGAGCCTCTTAACGGCTTTATCGATCTCCACCTCGGTGACCCCGACCGACTCATCCTCTCCGTCCGTGGGGGGGCCCTCGTAGGGGGGAATACATGCTTCCCCCCATGGAAAGAGGGCCCTCACCACTTCGTCTAGGAAGTCGGGGTCCAGGGACGCCGTTGGAGGGGGCGCCCAGTTGCGCAAGCGCCTCATCACAATATGATACGGGCGCCCCCATGGGTCCCTGTCGAGGGTGGAGACCCTTTATCTAGGACTGGACCATGAGCGACAAAGTAGATTAAGGTTGATAGTACAACGGAAAATAATTAAGTTTTACATTCCGCAAAATAATGTGTATAAAACTATTTTATTTAAAACGCAAAATAACAAGCAAAGTCGTGCCGAAGAAAAACAAGAAAAAAGAAAAATAATAATAATTTATGCTATCGCAAGAAAAGATGAAAAATAATAAGAATTTTCAACAGTATACTGTTATACTGTTACATATAAATACAAGGTGTCCCAAAAAAGTCGGGACCCGTAAAAATCTCGAAAAATATTAA